CCCAGGCGGGTCTTGAACCCGCGGGTTCAGGCAATTCACTCACCTCGGCCTCCCAAAGTGCGGGATTACAGGCTGAGCCACCGAGCCCGGCAAAATTGCCCTTTTTAAAAGCCTTAGTAGTTGGGCTAAAGCACGCAGACTCCCTAAGCCTCACTGTCCATTCTGCTGTGGGAGTCAGTCAGTGCCCCCTCCCCGGCTCCCACTCCAAGGCCCGCGTATTGGGTGGAGGGGGGATTCCTTTGCTTGGGAATGCCAAGTTACAATGTGGAAGGCGGGGTAGCTGGAAAGAAGTCACGGAAACCCAGAAAGAGGGAGTGACCATGCTCATAACACGGCTGGGGGAGAGCTCTACAGTTTTCAAAGCATTTCTTGGCTGTCAAAACTTGCACTGGTCATCATTTCATTCAACCCCCGCAGCAACACCCATGAGACAGATGGAGAGATTGAGTCGCAGAGAGAGGCAGTGTCTTGCGCAATGTCCTGTGGTCAGTGCCAGAGCCTAGGGATGCCTCCATCTCCGCGAGGGCTGGGTCCCGGAGACTCACCAAAAGCACAGAGAACCAGGACACCCATCTTCTCCAAAATCTTCTGGCAGAGCAGCTTGCATCTGGAAGCCGGGACACAGCGGTGAGGCTGGCTGGGCGGGGCCCTGCCAGGTCCACCCTCCTCCTCCTCCTCCCTTCTTCCCCAGTGAGTGTGCCCCTCAGAACCCAGCTCAAACGTCCCCTCTTCCTAAGACGTCCAGAGTCAGTGCTCCCAACCCTCAGCTTGGCCCTGCTGGGGTCCGCCTTTCACTGTGACCGGGGACCTCATGAGTGGTGGGGCCAACCCTGGGCCAGAGCAGGCAGGTGGGTGCTCCAGGCAGAAAGAACTGCTTGTGCCAAGGTGTGGAGGTGGGAACAGCAATGGTGTGTCCAGGACTGAGAACCTGGTCTTGCTGGCCTGACGGGGCCACAGCAGGATGCAGCTTGGACGGGAGGGGCCGGCAGGATCCCGGGGGCTTTGGGTTGAGGGCTGCAGCAGTAGGGAGCCACTGTGGGTTCTGGAGGGGAATCTGATGAAAGCCAGGTGCGGGGAGCTCCTCTGTTCCGGCTACCAGGGTGAGCCTCGACCAATGCAGGGGCTGCCGTGGTCCCTGCTGCCTGGCCCTGGACCCATCACCTGCCCCGCCTTTCCTGCTCACCTGCTGTTGTTGAACAGGATGTGCTGTGTCTGGCTCCTCAGGAAGTAGGCCATGCAGGTGAGCCAGGCTGCGGAGGGACAGAAAGGCAGTGAGTCGCTGTGCCCTCAACTTTGTCCCACTGCAAGGACTTGCTGACTGTCCTTGGGCCGGGGAAGCCCAGGACAGCCCCTGGCTGAGCACCAGCCTGCAGCGAGCTCAGGCCCTTTGGTGGGCACGGCTTGCCACCGGCAGTGAGTAGAGACGGGACAGTGGCTCAGGAGCACAGAGAGGCTGGGACATTGTAATGGCCAGTCCCAGACACTGGGAACTTGGCAAACGGGGCCTTGCCCGGTGTGTCTTTGGACACCCAGTATGGAGCCAGGCAAGGGGTTTAGGATGGACATGCGGGCAGTGGAAGACAGGAGGCAGGAATGGCAGCCTGGCCTGGGAGATGGGAGAACGGGGAGACGGATGAGAGCTGGAGCGCGAAAGGGTGGTCCGACAGAGGCCAGGCAGAGTGCTGTGCTAGCAAGGCAGGCACGGTGAGCTGAGGGAAGACTCAGACGGGTGGATGGACAGAGCCGTGGCTAGGCTGGGCAGAGTACAGGAGGAGTGGAGGCTGGCTCTTCCAAACAGCACACCTCCCGCCACCTCCTCTCCCCAGTCACCAGAGAGCTCCTGGCAGGAGTGGTGCCCTGAGGGGCAAACCCCAGGGCCCCACCCTGCAGCTTCCCATCACCCCTGGGGTCCTGTGAGCCTCAGCCACTCCCAGGGCAGCCCAGGTGAAGGCTGGACCAAGGCGGCTCTTCAGCGTGCACGTACACAGGCATCCCAGCACGCACTGGGTCAGGCCTAGGGCTTGAGTATTGATGCGGAGAGGCAGCAGGAAGGTGTCATCTGCAGAGAGCACAAGGCCATCATGTCACTGCCAGCCTGGGATCTGGTGCTTGCAGGGAGCTGGGGGGCACCCAGAGCTCGGTGCGAGCATCCCTGCCCCGCTGTCCACCCCTGCTGGGGTTGCCCTGGGTTGCCTGTTTGACATCTTTGAGCCTTGGACCCTCAGCTGCCCACAAAGGCCCCAGGGATCCCTCCCTGCTCACTCATGTTTGGGAAAGGGTCCCCTGCTGTCCTGCAGGTGTTTCGGCCTCGTTGGGTAGCCCTGGGGACGATAAAAGTCACAGTCACATCTTACAATTTACAAGGAGCATGGTGTCGCCACATTCCAGATCAGTAAACTGAGATGCAGAGAAGTTGGCCTGGGCCCCGCAGCCTGTGATTCAGGGACAGACCCCACAGGCTGACCCCAGATCCAGGTCCCCACGGAGGAGAGGGGTTGTGGCGCTCACAGGAGGTTGTTCCTGTCCCAGAGAGAGCGGAAGCTTGGTTTTCCCTTTGTCTACTCCCTCCCCATGTGGTTTGGACCATCCTGGTCTTGGTTGCAGGCTCCCATCCCCCTGCTGTGATTGGTCCAGGGAAGGGGAGTCTGCAGGGCAGAGGCAGGGAGGGGCAAGCGCGGCTCTGAGGTGTGGGACTTGGAGACAGGTATCTCATTGCAAAAATGAGACCCACTCTCCTTCCAAAGCCTGTTCTTCTTCTGTCCTAGGTAGCCATGTTTCTGCAGGACACCTGGAACGGTAGAAGTCACCTGGGACCAGGGGAGGGGCCAGAAGGAAGAGCAGAGTGACAGCAGGAGCCTGGGTGGTAGATCCGAGAACTAGTGCCCTCTGGAGCAACCCATCCCCTGGGACCTCTTGGCATGCTGGATAAAAAAGTCCCTTTTATTTCTTAAGAAAAAAGACCTCCCACATTGCTATCATGCCCTGATGTGTTTATGCTTATTTATTAAGAAATGATAAGCCCAGTTGGGCTGCTAGGTTATCTACCCTTCCCAAATGTACAGATTTACTTATACATTCCCAGGGAACATCAGTGAAAAGAGAACGAGCTGAAACAAACATGCATTCAAGTTCTGATATGTCTCCCCTCATCCCAAGGGATGTTGTGTGTACTGTCTTGGGAAATATCCCCATTCTGGTGGCCCAGAGGCAGGCATCATCGTGAGCCAGACTTTCTGTCACCTGCATCCAGAGGCCTCCTGACAAATGAGAGTGGTAGAAGCCCTCTTTGCCTGGCTTGGCGTCTGTCTTCCTCCCTCGATGTGAGCTCCATGAGGGCAGGGAGCCCGTAAGGCTGGCGAAGCGTGGTGTTTCCCATCCCCGTGCCTGGCACACAGTAGGCAAGGCTTTGGGGAAGCCACCATCAAACCTCTTTGGTCTCAATGGCCACATTAGTAAAGTGCACCTGCTCGCCTCCAAGGAGAGAACACAACCTCATTTTGTAAACTGCTAAGGGTGGGGCCGGCGACCTCACCTCCTGGGCCTGGCATCCTCAGGGTGGGTGCCTGAGTTCCTGGTACTCCGTGAGAACTGCGGCATTGGTCCCCTTTTATAGAGTGGGCTCTCTGGGAGCGGGCAAGGAGACAGTGGCTGCTCCAGCAGCTGCCTCCAAGTGTCCCCTGGAAGGTGCCATGTGGACTCTGCCTGGGTCAGGTGGCCCTGTGGGCACTGTGACCTCACAGAGCAGGGTGCTAGAGGAGGCGCCTGGTCTCCAACTTGGCCTGGAGCCCCTCCCCCACCCCCACCCCCAGAGGAGGCATTGTGCCCAACTTTCCACTGCTGAGATAGAGGAATGGAGCCTCAAGACAGGAAGGGCCAGGCCAGGGTGCAGGGCTGGGCAGGGAGACCTGAGGCTGTACTAGCCGAGTCACACCTCTCCTTGTGCCCGAGCCCTCCTGGGTGTTCACCACCTTAGCTTGTGTGTAAATGTGTCTTTTCATACTGAGCTTCTCAGTGGTGGCCAACCTGTAGAACACAAATTAATGTTACATGTGTTGTTGTTTTAACAAAGCTCTGCTTTTTACTGGGGGAAAAAATTAAAAGCATAACAGTGGACCATGTCTGACTGGGTTTCTTCTGTGAGCCCTGCCTTTAGAGAGCCTGACCATTTGGATAGTGAAGCTAAAATGAACTCACAATTTTGATGGCTGTGGCTCAAAATTGCAGGCTAATGACCTGTGGGAAGTGGAATGAGGGTCCCCCAAAGAGGGCTCGTACTAAAACCTGAGTCTGTGAACATGTTAAGTTCCATAGAAAGGGGAACAGAGCCAGCAGCTGGGACTCAGGCTGCTGATCAGCTGATGTAAGATGGGGACAATTCCCTAGTGACCCGTGTGGGCCCAATGTCGTTGTAGGGTCCTTGTAAGTGGGTGGAGAGACAGAGCACTGGTAGCATGAGAAGGACTCGCCCAATATGGTTGGCCTGAAGATGGAGGGAGGGGCCAGGAGCCAGGAAGGAGGCGGCCTCTGGGATCTGGAGAAGGCCAGAGAACAGCCTCTCTCCCACAGCCTCTAGAAAGGAACGCAGCCCTGACATCAGCTCCTTGATTTTAGCCCAGAGAGACCCATTCTGGACTTCTGACCTCAAGAATGGAGGATACACTTGTGTTTTAAATCATTTAGCTGGGTTAATTTGTTACTGCAGCAATGGGAGACCCATACAGTACCCTCAGGGACACTCAGTGAGGAGACTCCAACATGCTGCCCCTGTGATGGTCCTGGGACCCTTTGGTTGCACACACACTCATGTCTGTATCAACCAACATTTACTAAGCATCCAGTATGGCCCAGGCACTGGGTGTAGGGCTGAGCAGTCAGCGCCTGGCCCTGGGGTGCAGGCAGAGTGGCTGGCAGAGCCCTTGCGCGCTGCAGGCACTCACCCAGCGACACTGGCTGCTGCAGAAAGGCCCTGAGCCCTGGGGACGGGCTGCGGAGGGTCTCCCTCTGTCACATCACTGGCTGTCACCCAGATCCCCTGTGCTGGAAACACTGAGGAGAAGGAAGTGTTCATGCCGACAGCCAACACCAAGGGTGGCTTGGGTCAATATTTGTGCCTCTGTCCGCTGAGTCTGCTGTTTGCCTTGGCGAGGGGCAGGAGGGCTCTTGGTCTTACACATTGGTTGACAAACTGAGGCCAGGAGTCCATGTCAGGGAGCTTGCAGCAGGCTCTTCTCACTCCTCCTTGCCTCTGGGGTAGGGGTAGGGGAGCATGGGCTGGAAGGAGGCACTACTTCAGGTGAACTGGCTGTTTAGAGGGAGCTTGATGGTACCTGCGGTTCCTGTCATCTCTGTGCACACATGTGGGGATCCAGCACAGGGTGAGTCTGGGCTCTGGGCCTGACACTTGGGCTTGGTGGAGTCAGTGGGAACCCCAGAAGGCTCTGGAGTGGGACAAAGTTCTGAAGCCCCTTGTGCCTGCGCTCCAGGTGAGGCACGCAAAGGTCTGGAGGGGCCTTCCCTGTAGCTGTGCCATCACTTGCCATGCACACCTATATGTACAGACACACAAACATATAACATGCACACCCAATGCTAGGAAACAGCATACTATACACACACCCTTGCACCTGACACCACACACTCACAGACCACAAACACTCCACAGACCAAGCCTGCACACACATGCACACAGAGCTCCCTGCCTCTGCACCCACCTAGGTCTATGTAAATAGACATGCAACCCCCCAAACCAACACACCACGTGCCATTCCATGTCCACACTCACACATTAAAACACACATTTCTCTGACACCAGTAATTGTAACCTATTGCACCTGTGTACTTGTGACTATGCACACACACCCATGGCCCTCACACACACTTGTATATGCAAAAATTCCCTGTGCATACATAGTTCCTTGGGTCCCAAATAGCCAAGGTGGAGCCTGGAGTTTGTAATGTGGGAAGAGAGGATGGTCTAAATCCACTGTGAGTGGGACGTGCACTTGAGAGTGGCCAGAGAGCTCAGCAGCAAGAGCTGGGTCATTCACTTTCTTGTCTGCTCCCTTCAGAGTCCGTGCTCAGTGTGTGACCAGGATCAGGGCTCAGCATGTGACCAGGATCGGGGCTCAGTCAGTGACTTGGGTCAGGGCTCAGTGTGTGACCAGGATCAGGGCTTGGCTTTGACCTGAATTGGGGCTCAGTCAGTGACTGGGTCAGGGCTCAGCGTGTGATCAGGATCAGGGTTCAGTGACTGGGGTCAGGGCTCAGTGTGTTGCCAGGATCAGGGCTCAGTAAGTATCTAGGATGGGGTTCAGTCGGTGACTGGGGTCAAGGCTCAATGTGCCACTAGGATCAGGGTTCAGCATGTGACCAGGATCAGGGCTCAGTCAGTAACTGGGGCCAAGTCTCAGTGTGTGACCAGGATCAAGATTCAGCATGGGACCAAGATCAGAGCTCCATCAGTGACTGGGGTCAAGGGTAACTGTGTGACCAGGATCAGGACTCAGCATGGGACCAGGATCAGGGCTCAGTCAGTGACTGAGGTCAAGACTCAGTGTGTGACCAGAATCGGGGCACAGTCAGAGACTGGAGTCAAGGTTCAGTGTGTGACCAGGATCAGGGTTCAGCCTGTGGCCAGGATTGGGGATCAGTCAGTGACTGGAGTCAGGGTTCAGTGTGTGACCAGAATCAGGGCTCAGCATGTGTCTAGGATCTAGGCTCAGTCAGTGACTGGGGTCAAGGCTCAGTGCATGACCAGTATCAGGGCTCGGTCCATGACTTGGGTCAGGGCTCAGCATGTGACCAGGATCAGGGCTCAGTATGTGACCAGGATTGGGGCTCAGTCAGTGACTGGGGTTGGGGCTCAGGTAACCTTTGGCCCCTCCCAAGAGGGTGATGTTTCTGAGACAGCTTGAAAGGTCATTGCAGCCATTCCCCTGCCTTTGGGTAATCTCTTCCTCCTGGACCTTGGCTGGGCATGGCTGGGGTGCTGAGGGTGCCCTCCTGGGTGCAGCCTCCCTTCCCGAGCTCTCCTGGCCCTTGAGGCCAAAGCCACCAAACCCCAGGGTCTGCAGTGATTGGCAGCTAGGCCTGGCGACGTGGCAGCCCTGCCGCACATGTGAGACAAGACACGTTGGCAACGGCCGTGTTTGCAGGGAAAACACGAGCAGCCACAAGACACCTGCTGTTCCCAGGTCCCTTCCCGGTGGGCCCTGCACTGGAAACCTCATAAGGCAGCCTCTGCCCATCCGGAGAAGAAGAAAGCCTGCTGGGGCCGAGCACGCACCATCTCCGGAGCCGCCTAAGGTAGGAGGGTGACGGACTGCACTCCTCCTAGGAAGAGTTTTGACTTCTCTGTCTGTTCAGCGGGGAGTCCACCTCTGGCCACCTGCTGCAGAAGAATGCACCCCTCCCTGGCTTGCTGTGCAACTCTGGGCAAGCGCTGCCTTGCTGGGCCGCAGCCAGCCATCTGAACTGTGGCCCTGACTCCTGGGCTCCCTCTCCCTGTGTTGGACTCAGGTCTGCCCACTCAGCTGGGCTTGGCAGAGAGGAGCTGGGGGGCTGTGTGTGAGGCCCCCTTGAGCCGTTCCTTCCTGGAACAGGAGGAGATGTGGACAGGAGCCTCCCTGGGTCCTCCCCTGGCTGAGTCTAGACAGTGGGACACCAGGCTGGGCTGTCACACTCACTGGCATCCGGTGACATGGCCCTGGGCATCGGGAGGTGGGCCTGAGTTCTCTTCCTGGGACAGGAGACTCCCTCAGTGTCCCCATTCGGGAATTTCACCAACCTCTGCCAGAGCTTGGTCCCCACCTGGCCCCAACTGCCCAGTAAGACCGCTTTTCCTCGGGACCCTGGGGTCATTTCCAGGTCACTCCCCATGGCTCATGAGGAAGTAGAGGTCAAGGTGGCCATTCCCAGCACAGGGACACAGAAATGGACACCTGCAGGCCTAGGGGAGGGCCAGAGCCCAGCCAGGGCTTGTGCCCTCCAGGTGGGGCTGGACCCTTCTGGCCAAGCTCCCTGACGCCAGTCCCCACCCCGGCCCACAGATCCCAGTGTCAGCAACCAGGACAGCCATGACTCGGGCACGTGGGCTGGGCCTGCTGTTGGTGCTGCTGCTGCCCATGGTCAGCGCCTCTATGCCGGGCACCGTGGTCAGACTCAACCAGGCAGCGCTGGGCTATGGTAAGGGGTGTGCCACAAGTGCGTGCCTGCGAGCCCATGTGTACACGTGTGTGCAGTCCTGAGTGTGTGTGTGCCTCTGTGAGCTCAAAAGCCCCCAAAGGACCCAGATTTGTATCTGTTGCTGTGTCCCTGGCACCCAGATGGTGCCTGGTGTGCGGAGAAGACCAACAAAGATGTCTTCAATAAATGCACAATGGACATATATGTCATATGGCCAATGAGCACATGTGCACACATGCCTTGCTCACGTGCATCTGCAAGGTCCATGTGTGTGTCTGCGTAGGAGTTTGAGATTTCATGGAGATGTGCCCATGTGTGTACTTCAGTGCTGGGGAGGATCCATGCCCAGGCCAGTGCCTGGATGTGTGTGTGTGGATATGGCTGTGCACCCTGGGTGCACACATGCGTGTGTGTGGTGTCTGCCTGCACATGTGTACTTGGGAGAGGCATGTCTAGCCCAGTGCTGCAGGGAACGTCCGAAAGTTAGATCCCTGCTGGGCTCAGGGTGAGAGAACCACTCTGGGCCCCCCCTGAGCGAGGCCTCTGTCCTGTGTCTTTGCTGCTAGATCCTTCCAAGTCTTGCCCCAGCCCCTGGAAGGCATAGTGAGGAAGGCCCAGGGAGGGACAATGTCAACGTCCAGGACCCAGCCAGACATTTGTTCCCAGCTGCCCACCAGGGAGACTGCGGCCCCACCAAAGCTGGGAGATGGGAAGCCTATTTCCTCAAGGCCAAGCTCAGAGTACAGCGTAAGGGTCCCAAGGTTAGACAGTAGAAAAGACTTTCCGAAGCCCAGGCCATGCAGCAGTGAGGCAGTGGCTCAGGAAGCAGCAGGGTTACTCCACCCCCAGGACACACACAGCCTTCCAGGACCTTGTATCCGGGCAGATGGGCGGGCAGTGAAGGCAGCCAGTGATCCGTGCCGGAGCGTGACTGTCCTGTGCAGCCACGCACGGATGCCTGTGGGCAGGGGCGCAAAGCCTGCTGCCCGTTGCCGCCTTCCTGCCTCTGCCTGTCCTGGGCGAGCCTCCTCTGGCCCTCCCTGGCTTGCCTGTCTGTACTTATTCTTGGCAAAAATACAGCCAGAGGCCCACCTGGACACACACGCCCAAGTCCCAACTGCGTGGCTTCTTACTGTGTCCTCCCCACCCCACCCTGCAAGGCCCAGAGTTCAAGCCCAGAGTCAGGGAGCTGAGGTCTAGGTGTGTGTCCCAGCTCGGCTGCAGATGACCAGGCTGGAGAGGGGTATCAGGAACATGGAGACTGCCCTCTTTATGCTCCGTGTCTGGGAAACTGAGGCCCAGAAAGGCCCAGGGACTTCCCAAGTTCTCACAGCGAGTCTGAGCCTCTTGACTCCTAATGTGATGTTCTCTGCCAGCACCATTACTTCTCGTTTTAACTCAGCTCATGTTTAATTAGCACCTCTGGGGCCCAGCAGCACAGATGAGAGTGGAAGACCAGAGGCTCGAAGCAGGTGCCTCAGTCCAGAGCCAACCACCCTAGCCAGGTGTCCTCACCTCTCTTCAAACTGGGCACAGTAACAGAAAAAGCACAGCTGTTGGCACAGTGCCTGTCAGGAAAGTATCACTGGTGTTACAGAAATAAATCGCAACAGTAGCAGCATTTTTTACCCATTGAGCCTTGACAGTGACTCTATGTGACAGGTGCCATGAACATCACTACAAATGTGCAGGTGGGAAACTGAGGCACAGAGCAGTCACACAGGCAGTGGGGAGTAGAGATGGGTTTTGCACCCAAAATCCGAGGGACTGTCTAGTCCTCGGTCTCCTGGCGAGGCTGCCCCTCCCCTCCCAGGGGCGCTCCTGGCCCAGTATGACTGGGAAATGGCTCTTCTGCCTGGGGAGTCGGGAAGGCTCTGGAGGAAGGTGTCTGGTCAGAGCCTTGTGAGGGGGCGAAGGACTCAACTGCTTCTGAGGATTGGGGCAGACCGGCAGGATCTGGGGAGGCAGGGCAAGGGAGGGAGGGATGGTGTGGCCTGCAGAGGGTCTGACGTGCCTGATGTCCCCCTGGGGGCTCATGGGGAGCCAGCCGCTCTCCCTGTGTGCTTGGTGCAAGCTGCCCCTTCCGGTCGGCCTCGCCTCTGGCGTGGGGAGGGCAGGCAGTGTGTTCTTGCTGCCCGGGGCTCCGAGGGCAGCCCGACCTCACCCTGCCCTGGCCCCACAGTGTCTGAAATCGGGAAAGCTCCTCTCCAGCGGGCCCTGCAGGTCACTGTCCCTTATTTCCTGGACCGGAGTGGAGAGGTGCTTCAGCCTACCAGGTGAGTGCTCCCACCCTCCAGAGAAGGTGCTCCTGCCTGCCAGGCGAGCGCCTCCGGCCACGAGGTGTGTGCTCCTGCCTGCTGTATGGATGCTCCCCCACCGGGTGAATGCTCCCACCCACCAGATGAGCACTCTCCGCCAGAGGGGAGTGCACCCCCACCAGGTGAGTGGTCACAGGAAGATTTAGGACAAGGGACAGGAGCCTGGTGCCTCTGAATTAATGGATTTCTGCCTCAGGGGTCAAGACTGGGGCTCCTGGGGCCCTGAGGCTGGAGGACTCTCAGCTTCGTCCTCCAGTTTAGACACAAGTCAGGCCCAGTTTACTCCCGTTAATGCTTAGAGACTCAGGGCATAGGTAGGTGGGGCCTTCTCCAACCAGACACCGCTGGGATAGGCCAACTGTCGCCATCCACGAGGGAATGTGGGCTCCTGTTGCCAGATCTTTGGGATCTCAAGAGAAGATATAGCTCTATAATTTATCAAATTGTGAATGATAGCAATGAATTTGAAAACATGTACAACTTGAAGCCATGGGAACAACGGGTGGGTAGACTGCATTGGGTGTGGGAGCTGGGGGCTAAGCTTCAGGTGGGCTGGAGTCCCCTTCGCGGCATGGTTCAAGGTGGTGGCGGTGGAGTACTGGGAGCCATCAGGATGCCTCAACGCTGTGGACGGCCACGGGCCACAGCCAGGATGGCTGCCAGGTCAGCCTGTGTCAGAGGAGATGCATGGGAAGCCGTCACCCAGGCTAACAGTGAGGGCGTGTGGGGTGGGCTTACACCATTCTGCAGGGTCTGAATTTCCCCCTCAACTACTGTACAGGGGAAAAAATGACTTTCATTTAGGAAAGAAGGAATTCATAGGCTAGCTGGAGAGCGCTCTGCAGTCGGAACAGGTTGATGGAGGGGACCTTCTATTACTGGGGCTGCAAGCCGGAGACGAGACTAGAATGCCTCCCTCCCGTGGACTCCCAGGGTCGGCAGTTCCCACCTTCCAGCTTTGCATGCTCTTGTCAGAAACTGTCGAAACCGACAGTCCTCTCCCCAGATCCTCCCAGTGTGGTGCCCTCTCTGCGTCATTTCCCCACTAGCTGGTGTCCACCCTTGGCTTGCATGCCCCTTGTGATGGCGAACTCCCCGCCTCGCCCTCACTTCGTGGCTCCAAGGGTCAGAGGGTCCTTTGTAACATCACCAATGTAGGCTCGTCTGGGAGCACCTCCCGAGGTGAGTCCATGGTTTAATGGGGGCCCCTGGGATCTCGATGACCCTGCAGGATCCAGATTCTGAATGTCCACGTGCCTCACCTCCACCTGAGATTCATTGCTGGTTTCGGGATACGCTTGCTGGCAGCAGCCAATTTTACTTTCAAGGTCTTCCGGTGAGTGAATCTCCGTGCTGGGGGCAGAGCAGGGGTGAGATGGGGTGTGAGGTGAGGTGGGGGGCTGTCACTTCTCCCCAGTGCTCACCCAGCCCGACTCCCTGTCCGGTGCCCTCTGTCCCACCCTGGGGTGGGTGGGGGGAGCCAGAGAGAGACAGTTTCTGAGAACCCAAACCCTGCTCATAGAGGAGCAGCCAGGCAGAGCCACGTCCCTTCTCCAGCCTTCAGTTTCCTCATCTGTAAATGGGGCGAACCGTTGCAGGTGGCTGTGAGGGTTGCAGTGAATGGACTCATTGCTATGATTATGGTCATTGCCCTCCCTCTCACAGGCAAGGCCCACGGTAGCCTCTTGATAAATGGACCTACCAAAATCATTTCTGTGTCACGGGCACATTATATGTTACTACACTGCATTTCCAAACTATTAGCTGGGCACCCAGAGGCACTTCTTACTTTAATTCCTCTGTTCTGACACTGATTTTGGGAGCGCTGACCGTAGGCCGGGCTCTGAGCTGGGTGTGCCCATGTGATTACCTCTAGAACACTCCCCACAGCCCTGGGCAAGAGGTCCCTCTTCTGTCCATTTTACAGAAGGACACCAAGTCTCAGCATGGCAGATGGCTAGCCCAGGGTCAGCAGTGAGGGGCCCTGGGAGCTAGAGTTCACACCCACTTGCTGCAACGTCTGACCCTGAGTGGAGTTGAGGGGCTCTGGGCCTGCCCTGGGGGGCCATCTTGCTCTGAGTGAGGGCCTCCCTGTGCCCAGTGGGGGCAGACGCCAGCTGGGGCTGAGTGGGTCTCTCACAGCTGGGCAGAGCCGCTGGGGCTCAGGACTGGCCTCCCTGCAGTGTCCCGGAGCCCCTGGAGCTGACGCTGCCTGTGGAACTGCTGGCCGATGCCCGTGTGGCTCAGGGCTCCATCGGGACCCCTGTGGTCAGCGTCTCTGCCTGCTCCTCCCTCTTAGGCCGAGTGGACCAGCTTGACAGCCATGACAGGTGGGTGCCTGGCAAGGGTGAGGCTACGGGCATCCCAGATACTCAGGCCACTCAGGACTTCATCCATGGCCACAGCAGACTAGAGACCCCCATGATCATTCCTATTGAGGCTCAGAGAGGCAGAGGGGCCTGCCTGAGGTCACATAGCAAGCCGGCGGTCAGAGCTTGTGTCTTCAGTCACCACTTGACAATGTCCACTCACCATGAGCATACTCAGGGGTTTGGAATGGGTCAGACTGGCTGTTTGGGACCTCAGAGAGCCACCCTTCCTGGCAGACAGGAGAAAGAGGACAGGGTGGGGCAGGGACTGGTCAAGCTCCCACAGTGAGTCGGGGGCGGTCACCGCTGTATTGAAGAACGACATCCCCTGCCCCAGCCCCTCCTGTGTGCCACACACCATCTGGAGCCTTTCTGCCAGCCACCTTGCTGCGTCTTCTAGTGGTCCTCCCAGGGACAGCAAATGGAGGCACAGGCAGCAAGTTGACAGTGGTGTCCCCGGATTCAGACCCAGGCAACCTGACTAATCCTATTGCGTGTAAACCCCCATATCATGTCTATCCCTTCCCAAATGTGGGCAGGGAACTGAGCATTCCAGGGGCCTACGAGAACACACTGTGAGAACACACTGTCTTTCCCAGAGAGGGATGTGTGCGCATAAGTCCCCTCACACCGTGTCCCTGATCGTCCCGTGCCCCTGGTGACCTCTCAGGGCCCCTCTGGGCAGGGGCTGCCCCAACTTGTGGAGGGAGAACTGGAAGCCCAGGGGTCGATGGCTCTAAAAGCACAGATGCCACCCCAGCCCCTGGAGGCGGCCAGCAAGGTTGGACGGCAGCTTGGATCAGCGTCTCAGTCGACCAAGAAGCCATGATTCGTCTGGAGCACCGTCGGGAAGCACCCGTGTGGAGACTGATTCTCCATGTTCGGGGGGAGAGGCCCAGGTCCAGAAAGGGACTCCCCTGGCTGTCCCAGAGAACGGCAGCCTACGTAGGAGGCGGGGGGACTCCCGTCCTGCCCTGTGCTCACTGGGCTCAAAGCAGCCCGAAGCCCCTGGCCGGGGGCATGGCTGAGTCTGGCGTCTGCAGCCCCCCTCCCCTGTGCCCCCACCTCCCCAGAGCCTGGCCTCCCTCTTTGTGGTCCCGGCTGCCTCCCAGCCCAAGGCAAGCGACCTTCTCCTGTGGGACGCAGTTATGCCGCTTGTGCCGGCACGTGGCAGGCCTTGCGTGGGAGTCGCTGGCCTCCAAGATGTGTGGCTGTGTCGTGCGAGGGGACCCAGGGGTGCGGCTGGGGCTCAGCAGGCCTTCGTGTTTCTCCCTCAGCTCCTCTCGCGCACTGCTGGTCCTGGTGCAGAAGCACATCGACGCCGTCCTGAGTAACAAGGTAAGGGGCTTGGGGGTTCTCAGGGAGGAGGAAGGAAGGCAGGCTTCCAGGCCTCGAAGGCCCCTCCTGGGATGCCCCCAAAGCCGCCAAGCAGGCAGGGAAGAGCCCGGGCCACCATCAGTGGCAGTGACGGGAGGCCCAGCAAGGGCGGAGCTAGGGGCTGAGGAGGCATCTGTGTCTCCTCTGTGACAGCCGGGGGGCCCATGCTCCGAAGCTCATGCAGGAGTGCGCGGCCCTGGCCCCACCTTCCCAGCTGTGCCCACCCCCTCTGGCCCTGGCCCCAGCCTCCCGTGGGACTAAGGGGGGCGTCCCGCCCACGTGGGCTGGTAGGGCTGCAGGCCTCCGTGCCTGAGGAGGCTCGGGACTGCGGCCGGGAGTGGGTGCTGCTGTTGCTGCCGTTGCTTGAGCGCTTGTCATTCTCTGCCCCGCGAGAGAGGATGACCCGGCGGCCAGTGGCCCACTGCTCAGGGAGCTCGCTCTTCCCGCCCGCCCTGTCCCCTCCACCCCCACTGCCGGGGCAGCTGCGAGACCGAATCCACCCCTTTGTGCTGCCCCCCCAGGTGGCCTGCGGCATTCCCGTCTTACAGATGAGACACAGGCCCGGGATGAGGGTGACGCAGATGGTCTTGGAGGCTTGTGGGCTGCCCCAGAGTCCCTGGCTTGGCCTGTTGGTCTAGCCGCGTCCTCTCCCTGTGGCCCCTGTCCCCCTGGAGCCAGCCTCCTCTGGGCAAGGGCCCGCAGGCAGCATAGCAGGAAGGGAGGACCCGGCCCTCTCCTGGCCCTTTGGCCTCATCTGGCCCGGCTGCACGTGCCCCGCCTTGCAGGCCCTCCTCTGCCCACCTCCATCACTCGGACCCCACTGAGTCCAGACAGCTGCTAACTCCGGGCCTGGCATGTAAATCTCGTCTGGCTTCTGACCACCACCCTCCTCCACGGGGCAGCCCTCCCACCAGCTGGCCCTCTGGCCCCACCTCTGGCTCCACAGCCCCCCTCTTTCCTCCACGCCTCAGCCCACGCTTCCCCCTCCACCTCTGGGCTTCTCCTCTGCTTCCTCAGCACCCGGAGTGGGTGTGGGAGCTGCCCGCCGGATGGTGGAGGGAGAGATCCAGGCCTGGTGTGTGGACCGGGGGTTTCTGGACCGGGCTCCCTCCAAGCTGGCCGCCCTGACCTGGCCTCTGTCTCTGTCTTGCCACAGCTCTGCCTGAGCATTTCCAACCTGGTGCAGGGCCTCAACGTCCACCTGGGCACTTTGATCGGTAAGACCTGGAATCCCAGGGCAGGGCCCCACAGGACCCTTCCAAGACACCCCTCTGCAGCAGGGTTGACCCCTAGGAGGCCAGTTATAGGATGGCTGGACCGCGGGCTCCCAAGCCTGCATAGTTACTCATAGAATCTGGGGATCTCCAAATCCCAGAACCAGGTCTTTGATTCCAGAATCTACATATCTGAGACCCCAAAATTCAAAAACCAAAATAAAACAAGATCTTCAAATTATGAGTCTGAACACTGGAAAATCTTACCACCATTGACTCTCAGGGTTAGGATCACTCTCCTTTTCAGAATCAGGGGATTTTGGACTACAGCTTCTCACCATGGGAAGGGGTCTTGTTGCTGTCATGACGGAACCCTTGGGAACCTTTCTGTGCCATCCCAGAGAGGCAGGGTGCTGGGACAGGCACAGGCAGGGCTGTCATCAGTGAGGTCTGTCCCGTACTCAGGGCTCGGTGCTCACGCCTGGGCTTTAGAGATCTTTTATGGCCACAAGATGCGCTCTTCTCACTGGGCTGGTCGCACATTTGTTGGGAGGCAGTATCAGGACACTCAGCCACCCACATCCCTGGGGCTTTCACAGAGATAGAGCCATTTGATTCTCAAGAGTGATGAAAAGCCTTCTTTGCAAGTAACTTGTGAAGAAGGAAGTTGCTTTAAGGGACCTGTTAGCTCAGTACAGGGGGCTACACTCTGTTCGGTCCAGGAGATGCTTGCTCTGGAGCCTGACAGGGGCCTACTGGCTGAGTGTCCCAGGCTGTGCCACTTAACCTTTCCGGGCCTCAGTTGCCTCCTCTGTGGAATGAGGATCATGACAGAAGAGTGGCTGTGGAATGAAACACAGTTCTCTGAAGTGCTGAGCGCAGCACTGAGCTGAGGATGCAAGCTGGGTTTACCGAATGAGGCCAGGGCTCCGAGCCTGGGTTTGGGAGGAACAGGTGACAAATGGGGTCTTGAGGCCGCTCTGGGAGGGGGAATGAGTGACCCAGAGGGCTCTGTATTGTCCTCCTGTGCATCTTCGGCACCTTGTGTGCCAGGTTGTGCACTGCCTTAGGACAGAAGGCGGTGAGCAGTAGTGAGGGGCTGGGAGACCCAGGGACCCTGGCAGGCCATTTGGACTCGGCGTGCTGCTGCGGGCATGTCTGCAGGAAGCACCCATCCCTGAGGACTGAGCAGTTCTGGGCTCTTGCCCTGGCTGCTGTGTGTGTGGCAGGACGTTTGCAAGTCTCTCCCTTGCCTGAAGGCCTCAGGACCCCATGGCCCTTGTAGTCTTATGCGGTCTTGGGAGCCCACAGTCCAGTCATCCTACAACTGGATGCTCTCACATCTCAGGCCTTCTCTGTTGGACTCTCTTCCTCTGTCTCCCAACCGCCACACTCAGGGTTGAGGGCCTTACCCCAAGGTTCAGGCCCTTAGATTCCATTTCCTCCTGGACACCTCCTCCTGGAAGTCCCACAGGCTCCTCTGCCTCAGCATGTCCTTGCTAGAACCCAAGCTCTTCTGCTCCAAAGACTCCCTGCCTCTGGTTCCCTCCTCAGGGGTACCTACCACCCAGGCAGGGCCAGATCCAAGGCCTCCCCTCCTCCTCATCTTCCCCCAGATGGTTTCCAACTCCGAGTTGCCCGAGGTCCTCCTGGCCCAGGGTGTGGGGGTGCGGGACACTGATAGGGGTAGCTGTTGCCTTAGGCTAGTCCCCCAGAAGCAGACCCAGAGGGCAGGATTTCAGGGCCAGTGGCCCAAGCAGGGAGATGGGGAAGGGAGGAGCTCAGGCGTGGGTCCCTGCTGGGGCCAGCCCAGTCCTGCGGGAGCTCTAGGGACGGAGGAGAGCTTAGCCATGACCTTCCCGATGGGCAAGGAACCGGGTGTGTGTCCACGGCAGCCACCTACATGGGTCACGTCCTGGGACTGTGGCTGTAGCGGCCGCCAAGCCAGGCACCCTCAGTGTGTCTTCCAATGTGGAACTGGCAGCTATGAGAGACTTCCTTTTCTAAAGCAATATGTATCCGTCTTTAAGAACTGCAGTGACGACTACCCACCCATCCTTAAACAATCACAGAGATCTCTTGATTTTGGGGGGTAGCGGCTTTCCGGTGAGCTTGGCAGCCCCCTCACCCGACACCCAGCTCTTGCCGCATTCTTCACATCTGTCCTGAGGCTGCTCCTTCTCTCTGACGGCTTGCTGGAGACTCGGTGGTGTGTCATTGACGTTGTGATGTCTGGAGCTGCTGACTGTTGGCCGCCACCCTCTGAGTGGGGCCTGTATCTAGCCCTCCCGAGGACAGGGACAGGTGTGGGGGCAGGTGGGGGCAGGGCACCGCAGGCAAGGTTCAGCCCGAAGGGACTCGGGCAGGGTCCGTGTGTACCCATAGTGGGTTTTTGGTGAGTATGCTTATGCTGAGGCAGCGCTGGCTGTCTTGTGCAAACTTTGAGCAACAGTCCTGCAAGGCGGCATCGTTACTCCCATCCGTAGGTGGGAAATCAGAGGCTGAAATCTGACCTGGTGCTCGCATCCCCCTGTGAGCCGGCTTGCCCTGGTCCTCTTCTCCTCACACATCCAACCACGGCCCAAACCCCCGATTCCCTTAACAGGAGACGCCAAGGCCAAGGAGACTAGACTTGGAGTTGAAGGATGTGCGTTTGACTTCCGGCTCTGTTTCTCACTTGCTGTGTGGAGTCACTTATCTCTCTGAATCTAACCACGCTACCTAAGCGCGAGCTCTCTTCTTTTTCTGTGGTCCCCTCTTGCCTTTATCAGGGGTATTTGTGCCTGCACTGACCTTGTCCTCCCTTCTCAGTTGGGTCACTAGTCTTCCCCCAGTTGGGAAAGCAGAAACCACACAGTTAGCATGGTGTCCGCTCTAGAGCCAGCAGGCTGCGTGTCGCAGAGCCCTGGTTGTGTACACGTTGCCGCTCCCAGGAGCTCACTAGGAGGCCATGCCCGCCATCCTGCCTCTCGGCCTGGCCCTGACTGCCAGGCGCCTCAGACCATGGAGGCCCAGATAGACGAGGCGGGTGTGCTACACAGCCGTCTTCTCTTCTCCATCCTGGCTTCCTCAGGCCTCAACCCTGTGGGCCCCGAGTCGCAGATTCGCTACTCCATGGTGGGTGTGACCGTCACCAGCGACTACATTTCCCTGGACATCAGTGTAAGTGCCTCCTGTCAGGATGGGCGGTCCTTGGTGTCCCAAGAAACTCCTCAGGAGCGGGGCAGTCACGGGCCAGGCTCTGGGATGCATCTGGCAGAGAGTGGGCACACAGGTGCAGGTGTGTGCGGGCATGTGGCCCCGGCGGGGCGCGGGGCCAGGCTCTGTGTGCCACCGGGCTGCCCCCCGTCACCCACACACACCCCCCGCCGCAGGCTCTTCTCTTCCTGCTGGGCAAGCCCATTGTCCTGCCCACCGAGGCCTCTCGCTTCGTGCTGCCGCGGCACGTGGGCACCCAAGGCACCATGGCCACCGTGGGCCTCTCCCAGCCCCTGTTTGACTCTGCACTCCTGCTGCTGCAGAAGGCTGGCAGCCTCAACCTGGACGTCACGGGGCAGCTGGTGAGAGCT